GGCCTTTATTAAAGGGTGGGGGGGGGGGGGAGAAAAATTGGAAAGAAAGTGATGAACATTCTACTTCATGTGGAATTGCTATGAAAATAAACCTTCTTCGTATCTTTGGTCCCGAATATATATGTATACGGAAGCTTTGTTCCATAACGATGGATCTCGCGCACAATACAGGGTATATGCTTTCTCCTTTTAAAACAGATGACTTACGAGTTAACATAGCTAACTATTGCTGTACTTTGACATCAGTTTAGGGGTTTTAAAATAGTGGAGAGTATTTTGTTGTAAATATTGATACTCATGAAATTGTATTTATACTATTTATACAGATTTGCAAATGTATAAATTGACGTTGATTCTTATATCAATATAAATACTTACCACATGTAACTTTCTCAGGATTGCATGCACACCTACAGAACTAATGAATTGACTATATTTGGGGATATTGTAAATATTATTTCAAGCATTTCAATTGTGATTGTTACTAATCAATTCTAACTTTCTTACAAGATGATAAATAATAGTACAAATCGGACACATAGGCTCTGCTTGAATTGTCCATACCAGCGCATACCGACTGACTACACACAGTTTGGCAGTTTCCGCGGCGCGTGACATGATTTAACCGAGAGTCGACAAAGGTTCAGCTGCGACGTACGTCGAATGGGCCGCTTTGTCGGCAGCGTCGAACACCGTTGCAAGACGGTGAACATGTCAACGAGATAAAATTCACGTTATTTAGGAATGCCATAAAACACCAATGTGTTGATGTTGAATTGGAGCTTCGTAAAATCAGATGTTCATATGTCGGTAATATAAGTAATAATATTATTATTTTGCGAGCACTTACTTATAGTCATGCTTTTTAGGAATACTGTATATGATTAAAACATGTCATGTTACCGGTAGAATATTATAATATTATCCAACGCCATATTTGTTGTTTATCAGCCGGGTCTCTTGATTTGCTTTGATACGGTAACCTGACCGGCATACGCCGTGGTAGAGATCGGCTCGCCCATGGGCGAGCAAATCAAGTAGGCCCTAAAAAGACATGAAAACACCCGCTAAAAAAATGAGAAATACAAATGTTTATCAAAGTTCCTACCCCCCCCCCTCACTTATACTCCCATGACCCTTGCTTGGTGTACGGCACAATCAAATCTTTTGAATCGTATTTAAGTTAAACTAAAATATCGGGTAATGGTTGACTTGACCTACAATCAATCAAGGTGAATTAGTTATCTGATTCCTTATAGATACTCAGACAGAAAACAGGATTGAACTAGATTTGAGGAAATTGACAAGGTCCGATTGGTGATGTCCATTGTTAATCTACGCCATTTGTAAAAGTCATATTAACAAACACAATAAGTATCAGTTAAAGCTCGAAGACTTCATAAGCTGTCATTGGGGAAAGTAAAAGTTGCCCTGGACAATATTAACCTTAAATCACCCGGATTATCAGCATATAAATGAGATTAAGTATAGAACTAGCCTGGGACTTAAGAAAGTATAAGATAACTAGTTACTGTTGTACTGAGATTAAATCAACAATTTTATGTTACTGTTTCCACTAATATAGACCAATTTACTATTCGTATTTAGTAATGACTTTGTTTGCTGATTGAAATAAACTGCAATAAAATTTGTATCTTCAAAAAGGGAATACGCCTTTACCAACAGCTGTGGCTTTGCGGTAAATGGAAAGATTATATTGTCGTTGTCATTGTGCTAAAACATTGAAAACATTGAATATTGATTAATACCCGTTTTTTATCTAAGCTGCCATAGTTAAGCGGTCATTTCTAATAAAAACGGGAATACATTTACCCCGACAGTTTAAATAATTTCAGATTGTTAAATCTTGAAATGTTTTTGTCAAAATGAACGGGTGAAAAGAGATTAATGCCTAAGACAGTATTTCAGCAATTAATCCTACAAATATATTATGGCGACCATACTGGATCTCAATCTGATTAAAACACAGATCCTACTTCGTTTCGTTGTTTATAGTTCAAAATTTCGTTTTATTTGTCTTTACTACACTTCAACCTGGAAGAGCTGTTATCATTGACGTGTTCTGGATGATATAAGGGATTAGCCAATGAAACAGTCTGTTACGGCGAGCTTTTGGTGTGGGGTGCACGGAACTGTGGATAATCCACTAGAAACATCAATGCTGATTGGTTAATCTAAAGTCTGACGTCATAGGGCCAAAAGTCGCTCGAGTGACCTCTGACGCGACTTCCCAAAACTATTGGTCAGATCGAAAGTATAAAAAACGAAACGAAATATAGATCTGTATTTTAATTAGATTGACTGGATCTTGAAGATTTCCGCCATGTAAAAACCTATATCTACCAATAGCTCAGCTTCTAAAACATTTAGGATTGCAATCTTTATGTCTAAACCTACACTCGGCATCGACTGTCAACACACACCAGCAGCGCCACCTATAAGTTTCAATGATTCTTTTCATAGGCCTCTTTTTAATCCGACTGGATCCAACCCAGTAAATTATCGACCGTTGATATTTTGATTTTTTTTATCTTAATTAAATGGTAAAAAATCAATATGGGAACATTTCAGCCGCTAAAAATTTGATATTTTTTGAGAGAAAAAAACAAAACAATGAAAGAAAATCGTTTATTTTAGTGCATATTTTCTGCTCATTCAAACCACATCAATGAAGACCTGAAAATTTCAAAACTAAACAAATATGAAAGCAATGGGGGAAAAAAACATTGTTCTTTTTTTCTATCGTGCACATTCTTCTACACATCCAATGCTCTTCAACAAAGGACTTAAAATATTTTTAAAGGAAGTATTTAGTAACAATCGATCGTCTTGAACATCCAAATTAAACGTACTATACAGAAATATTCTTTACTGTGTGGAATAATATAAAAACAAGCACTGCACTATTGACATGAACAGGTAGTGACAGTGATAGATAGACACAGACGCAACATGTCGAAACATATTTATTGTTATCTAACTAACTGCATATATTTACTCAATGATTTAACACAGTAGTACATCACATGCTTTGTGTCGACTGATTTACTAAGCAGTTGTTACAGACAGTTCAAGAGATCAAGAAGATAAAAGTCCCTTTCAATTGTAAAATGTATTCATTTAAAGTCAAACTTATTTAACAGCACGTTAGTACATCTTTTGTGTTATTTGTAAATCTAGAAATAGAAACAATTTTACTGAGTGGAATAGAAGACTAATTATCTTTAACGAAGTTGATAAATTCGGTCACACATGCTCTATAAATAAATAAGAACCATGCTGCACTGAAGTGTCCAATTAGGAAGACCCATCTTTTATCCTAACTTTGATTTTTCTAGGAGAGATGTTTTAAATACTAAATTATTATATATATTTTTTTTTCATATTAAATTCTACATTAAAGATACATTATGGGAGATTCGGTAACGAGTTGGCAGTTCTCACTATAATAGTTAAAAACTAGATAACGTAAAGGCAATTTGCTGAAAATTTCATTCAAATTGATCCACTATGAACCGAAAACTAAGCGAATGAAATTTCTGCCTAGCCTCGGTCATCATGACTAAAGTCAGTACGATAAACTGCATAGTCTGGATTATCTATTTAATCGTTTAATCGAGAAGGAAAGTTATGCAGTAAATCGGCTCTCAATCCACTAAAGATCGCAGGCTAGCGAAGCCATCTAGAGTTGATTATGGTCTGGATAAGTTAATTAATGTCTAATTAATAATTTAGATAACATTTCAGGCCTAAAGAGAGACCTGCAATAGACAGATAAATAGCTCTTGCATAATGTATGTTTAACAAGACAAAGGGGAAAAGTTTGGTTATTTACATGAAAAATATAATTATTATCGATTTGGAAATGTCTGGCATGTAATTGATATTTTAATGTATCTGAAATTAACTTAGAAGGCCTTAAGTGTGACGAAGGTTATATGTTGTGTTATTAGTTAATAATAACAACAACCAGCCTACTGTTTTATGACAAAAAGCAATGCACTTGGGGGGAAATTGAGTTAGATTCGCACGGATGTCACTACATATCAAATATTAAAATTTGTCTCGACACTTTTCAGAATGAAAATTACTCTAAATGGGAAGTCGTGAAACGGACCTATTACAAAATTTCCAAAGATTGTCTCCGAAGACTACATTCTTTATCGAATTATTTTTAAACAAAAAACACACATTATTCTGTAAGAGATAAATGCGTTTAGTCTTGCCCTCTAGACCAGTGTCAATATTTAAAAACATATATAACGTAGGATCTTGCTAAAAGATGACAAATATAAATTACAAGACTTGAGGCGACGTTGTGGGTCAAAGGAGAATTGATAATTCATATTAATAAAACATAAAAAATATAGGATCAATTTTCGAAATAATTTTATAACTTTTCTAACAAATTGTTTAAAATCATGAGATAGTAAACTGTTTTGTTTGTTTTGATTTGTTTTTTTTTTGGGTTTTTTGGGGGTTTTTTTACGGTTCTTCGGGAATAGGTAGTATCGGGTAAAGATGATTTTCATCAATATAGCAAAAATAGCTTCAGGGTCAATGCCCATAGCTGATTGATTATTGATCAAAGTAGTATCATACTCGTACCCACTCGTGTCAGTTTTTGAAAAGCATATTGTATCAAATCAGATATTTATTGCGCTTTAAATAAAGTCCATATCTGAGTATTCACATCAAGAAATCTAACCAATACATAGAAATAACTGTATTTATAAACTACACACTTAGGTAAATGGATCAACTATTCGCAATAGTTGACCGTCGACATATGTCTTGATTTTATATACACTACCTGTTGTATATCTATATTACATGAGTTGTAACACTAGGAAACTGTCATTAGCTGATCAATATCAATTTATTTATGTAGAGGCTTTTAGTATATTAATTACTAATGCACATTACTTACTGGTTTTATTTAACGAAAGTCTATATATAAATGTTTAATATGAAAACATTATTGTAAACACCATTTATAGTAACATTGTGTTTGATGATTTCTTAAACAAACGTGTAATGTAATAATTCTATACCATCTAGAGGCTGATTAAAGTGTGTAAGCAAAAGAAACGATTTATTGAAAATTTGATGCGTAACACATAATCATTTTTGTGTTGTAGTCATTTATACGCTGATTTGAAAAGATGTAGGTTGTAGGGAGGGGGTGATGCCCTAGTAGTCTAACCGGAATTAGTTTAATTATCTATACTAGTAAAAATAAGGAAAATGGTCGCCTGTCTAAATCTGCGGGTATCATAGTGTATTCTGGTTTCTCTTTTTAGTAGGTTTTGCGATCACATACTGTTACGTTACGTTCAAATAAAGTATAATAATAAAATGACTAGTATTTAGGTATTGATTTAATTAAATCATATTGTTTGCGGTGTGGGTATATGATTACATTTAAAATTTTAGGTCCACAGACAGAGAAAAATTGAGATACAACTGATACTGTGTTCGGCAGTTAAAGCCAATACCGTTAATATTTCGAAACGAAATTTAATGTATAGATCCTATCCAAACGGAAATATAAAACGCACCATATTAAAAGAGTGCAATATTTTACTTTGACCTACGCTAAACTGCTTTATATCAGTGTCGAATATTAAAAGTAAGAAACTAATGTAACATTGTTTATCTGTATGGGTGATAGACAACAAAACTTAGTAACCGGATATTATATTATCAAGAGGGGATCTCTACGAGTGGTATAAAGGCGACTATAACAAACATATCTTACATTTTTGACGGTAACTCGTGTTCATTTATTTTATAATCCTATATTATATTCTCAGCTGGAATTAAAAATTTATAACCTGATCAATGACATTAATAGTCTCCCATCGTTTGTTTATCATATCCTTACCTTAGAACCAATGTTTGAGGAATATATGGCAAATGATAGACAACCTAATTCTCACAAATCTAGACAGGTACATTACCAAATCAATCCCCGTTCCTGATTGGTGCCTCGGGTGACATAAAGTAGCGTACAATTAATTAACAGTTACTTTTAGGAACCTGGATATTGCATTTGTGCAAGTAATAAGTTTTGAGGCAATTGTTCATTGAGGTCGTGGGGGCTGCTCATTCGGGTAAATCGTTAGATTTCTCCCACCCATCCCGATTTATCGATTCCATTTATTCATATCTGTGCTCATATTTATTAAGATAACTCAAATGCAATAGTTGTGTCTGCCAAACAGATGAAAATAATATGCAACATCCGTATTATACTCTTTTTATCCATGCCATAAATATCCAGATTCTTGAGGAAAAGCATTAGATTGCATATTTTGGTAAGTGTGTATGTTATACAAGATCAGAAACCTGTAAGGCGTGAATAAATCTTCTATTTTTGTAATACTATAATATTCATTTCTAATTGTTAAGTAGCTCGATTTCAGGTATACTGACAGGCAGATATTTATGAGAGAACAAGGAAGTATGTATTGTGTCAAATACGGCAGAATAGTCATAACTTCCCCTTTGATCAGATTTCATTATAGATTAGGATTACGATCAATCAACTATATTTTAGAAAAGTGCCAATGTTCATTTTGCTAAAAGAGGACATTTCTGATTAAATACTCAGATTAGGTAATTGGTTACTCGTGCATGTTCACCTGCATTCAATTAAATAGCACACATTTATACAGAGTAATCATTATGATTATCATCTGGAAATTGATTTATTTTGTATCCAGTCAGATTAAATTACACACCTAATCTGTTTCATACCCAATGCTGCTATATTTATATAATCCTTATACAGAGAGAGAGAGAGATGAGGTTTAACGTCCACTGGACACAAACTATGTCATTTCGGAACTAACATTATGGTTCAATTTTATTTCAATAATTTGCTGGCGCGTAGGGCTTTTAGCAGTGGAGGTTGGGGTTAGGGGGCAACCAGGTGACCCGAAGAAAATCCACCACGCCACTTGACTCAATGACAGACCTTATGATCCAACACGCACGCGTTAACCATTCGGCCACTCAACGCCCCAATGCATTATACAACAGCGAAATCTGCCATGCGGTCATTTTGTCTAACTTCAAATGTTATATAAGTTATCAAATGGGTATTTATTCACACAAGCCCATAATCGACTTTGTTGACCATCGGGTGGTCGTAATATTTAATACATTAGAGCAACCGCGTCATGTAATAAGTTAACGTTAAATTAAATAATCGAGACTACCTTGTCAAGACTTCGGGTTATAATCCCCACTTCGCTTAGAATAAAGTAATTGAACTTATAGCAAGAACGGCCAGCTCTTTATCTAAATCTTACATAATACATCTTTGAGGCTAAAAGCATTTAGCTGTTATTGTTCAATTGTATGACTGGCTTGATTTGGAGCCTTGTGGTTAATCTGATATCGAAACTAACAGCATTTCTTCGAGAAAGAATTACAGAGCTTGAGGTAGCTGCCAAGTTCGAGGAAATATGCTTCTGTGCATTTATTAACCAATTTTTTCATGCCGTAAAATATATCTGAGACTGCCTCTGAAAGATTATACTCCTGAATGTGTGAATATTCCTAAAAAAGTTGTTACGAAGCATTGCTTTTGCTTTAATGATTTGTTGCAGGGGCGCACCAGATAGTAAGTTGTATTCTTCGGCCGGATGATATATTTTCTACTTAGCATAAAACTGGTTCCTATAGACTTCATGTATCGAATTTCCAATTGTAGTTCTGCTTTTAAAGAAATATTACTGCAGGGACAGATCCTGTTGAGACTATACAAAAAGCTACAAGGAACTGTAGTTAGTGGCGGCTAACTAAATTTTGATTGTCATTTCCTTCAACTACCACGGGCTGAAAAGTGTTATTTTAGATAAACATAGTAATTTAGAAGATTGAACCAAAATTATGTAGATAAGATAATCTCTTTATTTCAATGTTGCTATAGTAGAATGTCTTTGCTCGAGTCTTGACAATGCAATAACATTACAATGCAAAGATAGCAATTGCATTTGTTCTTAGTGTCCACCTAGACAAAAGTCCCATCTACGCATATTTTATTTTATTAACTTACTGCTAGCCGATTATTATGACACCTACGCCATCAGTTTACCTACTGTGTTATGTCTGGCCGATTATATCTACATTAAGTCTATGCAACGATATCAATGCATTCTGCTCATAAATTACAGTCAGATTGGTAAATCTGGAATATATCCCTCAGGTCAAAATCCAATTCACTGATGAAATATTTGGGAGGTTAATAACGACTAACCCAGCTTCTTTATATCTACAATACACACATTATAATGTAACATCCAAATCAAGAATATCTTAAGACCACCATTAGTGAATATTAAAGATAAGGAACTAAAGTAAACTTTAAATATCTGATTTTATCTATGCTTAATGTGTAGGGCCTATTATATAAAATTTATCTTGATATGGACGGAATATAGCAACACGTAGCGGCCATATAATGTTAAAATTCTGACGTTAAGTGATACATCTGATAATGTTTATACTCTCAGTCGGAACCTTTTAAAATACAGTATGTAAGATAAAGAGTTTGCCCTGTTTACAATAATAGTTAAAAAAGAGATAATAAAAATGAATATATTGAATATCTCAGTCAAATTACTTTATTCTGAGCGAAGTTATGAGTGTTTGAAGTTTTGAAAGATAGTCTCGATAATCAATTTGTGCGATAATAAACAAAGTCTCGGTTATCCATTTTAAAACGAAATTAGTAAATGGTGCGGGTGCTGTACTCCATTCAATATCATGGTCATCGGGAGATCATGTGTAGTTACTGGCTTGTGTGAATAAATGCGTCATTAATAATTTATATAACATTTGAAGCTGCAATAAGCAGATTTAGTTCAAAACCTAATGCATCTTTAAATATCTAAAACATTAAAACGCTCCTAATATCCTAGTTTATGTCCGACAATTGGTCAGATGGAGAATTTTGTTTGCTTAACAATCGAATTCAGCAGTTGGCAAAACATTGATTCTCAATAGACAGATGAGTTACAGGTGGGGTCTTCTGGTAGATGCTTTGTATAACTGATAAATGATTAACAGTATACGTTTCTTCTCGGGAAAACTGAACCCCGTATGTTGTAGACTGTGCACCAAGGCTAATCTTTAGATGGATGAACGTATAAGTAATTCTCTGTCTGCTAATAATTATTTCAGTTTCCATAGCCAATTATCAGGAAACATAATTTAAGGGCGTGTGGCTCTATTCTTTGGAACCTTAAAATACATCTATTATACGAAAATGGGTCTAAAAGCACATATCAATGTAACATGGATGTATATAAAGTTGAACGACAGTTGTTCGCGTCTGCTTAGTCCATTCTACACCTTTTTATACGCCCACATTTTCATGTGGACGTATATTGTCGTCGCCCCTGTCCGTCCACCCGGACGTCCGTCCACAATTTATTTGTGGACACTCTACAGGTCACAATTTTATTCGATTTTGATGAAACTTAAAATATAGGTCTATCTCCCAAAGATCTCGGTTCCTGTCGATATTAGCATATATCGGACCATCACTTCATGGATTATGGCCCCTGATTATACGAAAAATCACGATTTTAGATTGTGGACACCCTAGCGGTCACAATTTGCATCTGATTTTGATGAAATTTGAAATGCATGTTTATAACCGAAAGATCTTGGTTCATCTCGATATTTGCGCATATCGGATCGTAATTTCCTGATTTATGACCCCTGATTGTACGAAAAATCACGTTTTTAGCTTGTGGTCCCTCTAGAGGTCACAATTTTTATCCGATTTAAAAATAAAAGTTTGAATATATCAACGTTACACGCTAATGATGGTTGAGTTCGAATTTCGTGAAAATCGGACCAAAACTGCCGGACAAAATGGCCACCCCTCGTATGCAAATAGTGTATATATGGTATATCAAGGTTGTGGACCCTCTAGAAGTCACAATTGTGATCCGATTTTGATGAAACTTGACATATATCTTTATAACCCAAATATCTTGGTTGCGTCGATATTCGCGCATATCGGATCATAACTTCTTGAATTATGGTTCTTGATTGCACGAAAAATCGCTTTTTATTTTAGCTTCTTCTCTATCCATCTCTTGCAAAATGTGGGAGTATCTTGCATGGCAAACGCTTGTTTTATTATCGTTTTGCGGTTTGTTAATCAGCCATCACTAATGACTTCTGCATTGTCTTGTAGGATACGTTTTTGTTTGTTCATTATAAATAGCGCCCGAAACCATATTTTCACCCCAAGATAGCAACATCAATATTGATTAAAATGATCAATATTGAATTTTTAATTCCAAATATTATGTAAAATATTAAGTTAGGAGTTAAGCTCCTTTAAGACAACTACGCTGTAAATACGAGGTAAATATGCTATGATAATGTATCGTGTTAATAACGATTATCAGGCAACATAGCTTCAGATTTCATTTAAGATTACAGTCAAATGTATATTTAGAATTTGTCGGTGTTTATTTAGATAAAACTAGAAAAATTGATTAATGATTAAATAAGTCAGCTTATATAATCGGCTACTCGTGCATGTTCAATGGGAGCTACAGTGACGAAGTGGGTAAGACGATGGCTAGCTAGCCTGGGGGTCGCGTGTTCGATCCCTGCATTGGCCTGGACAGTTCATCGGGTATTTCCGGCTTGGTTTCCCCTTGTCACTGGTGCAGGACGGAGGGCCTGACAAGGACAGCTGTCTAGTCTTTCGGATAGGACGAAACACCGAGGTCAAGCGTACACATTGGCGTGCAGGTAAAATATCCCTTGGCAGTTGGAATTCGATAAAAGAGTAGTCCACAGTGCCTCTGCCCGGGCAAAATTTCCCTCATAGCACACTGTATGGCTTATGCCCGTCTTTATTAGCCCAGTTTTCGAATCCCCGGTTGTACGTGACAAGGAGTAGGGTCGCCTGTCCAATCTCGTGGGTTTTCTCCGGGTCCACCGGTTTCCTCCCACTGCTAAAGACCCCTACGCGCAAGCGAAATATTGAAATAAAATTAAACCATATGTTAGTCCCGAAATGACCTAGTTTGTGTCGCGTGGACGTTAAACCCCATTCCTCTCCCTCCCCGATTAGCCCAGTTGGAGCAGAACAGTAGGACGTTAAACCCCATTTCATTTCATTTGTGTGCATGTTCAATAGCATTTGATTGGACAGGCCACTGTTTTTCGGATCATTAATATTATCATCTGGAAATTTCGCCATTTTGAATCCAGTCAGATTCAGTTATATTCCTCAGATCAGATTAAGTAATTTTCCTGGCACTTCTTCTCACATGATTTCTTCATTAAAGTAATTTATATAAACTGGTGCTTAATTGGGACAAGCAAATCAATACATTCATTCCTAATCTAAGACATATTAAATAATTCCGCAAATAGCTACCACATAGATGTATATTACTGTTTTAATGGCAAAACGTCACGCGGTTTCAATGCTGTTTTCAACATATATCGTGGGTCAGATATGCTACAAATCGATCCTAGCATGTTCCACACAGCCTAATATTACCACCACGCCCCCGCACACATATATAAATATTGTTTTTTGGGGCCCGGACGTGATTTTGTTCCTCATGATTTGGACTCAAGTTGAGTCCGACATGGCCGTCGTATATAATTAACCCATTTCATTCACAGCCGGACGACTAAGCTACTTGTATTTAGACGTATATGTTGCATGGCTGTACGTGCTGTAGTGTGAAATTAACATTTATTTATCTGATAAACCGAGTTGACGAAATATTTATTAGGGGATTTGATGAAGTCCTTCAATAAGTGCCCATAAATTTCTTATAGGTTTGTACCGTGTGACGGATGGATAGTATTGGAGACCAACAGTTGTACAGACAAAATACTTTTCTTCGTTCTTCAGCAAGGATATGTTAGTTAGCAAAACAGGCCTTTCTTCCGTCTGGAAAGCTATATGGTGGTTCAGGGTTTCCAGTTTATGTTTGCCTTGTCACTGGAGCAGGGCGCAGGTCCTGGTAAGAAACAGCGTCTATTCAATCGGTTGGTATGAAAACGTTGGCCGGGCAAAATTTTCCATCATAGCACACTGTATGGCGTTTGTCCATCATCATTAGCCGGAATGGTGCACAAAACTGACACGTTAACCCCTGTTAAAAATAAATATAAAATTACAGTGAAAACACTAAATTTACCTCAAAGTTATTTTACACTCACGGTAAATTGACATGCTGTTTGTAAATCTAAATCTACCACTTAGGTGTAAATTTACAAGTCAGTGTTAAAATACAGTCAATTTACTGGCCACTTTCTGCCAGTCAATTTACGGTAAAAATACACAAATATTATTTACAGTGAGGTCGATTGTGGGATTTTAGAGCCTAGTTCCCAGGGGCGTACATATCGATTTTCTTTGAGGAGGGGGGGGGGGTGTTTCGCAAAAATGAGACCGACTGATACACTGACCCCTAATACGGGTCCGAGGGCATGCTTCCTGGGTGGCCGAATGGTTAACGCGTGTGCGTTGAATCAGAAGGTTAGCCATTGAGTCAAATGGCGTGGTTTCGATACCCGCTTGTACGTGACAATGAGTAGGGCAGCCTGTCCGACCTCGTGGTTTTTTTTGGGTCCTCCGGCTTCCTGTCACTGCTGAAGACCCCTACCCGCAAGCGAATTATTGAAATAAAATTGATTCATATATTAGTCCCAAAATGAACTAGTTTCTGCTGAGTGGACGTTAAACCCCATTGTAGGCAGTGTGCATATTTTTAATTTCACAAATAGTACATCAAATTAATTTTGAGTAACACAGATTAATGTTCGCCTTATGTTATAAAGAAAGCCAGAATTTTGATTTAGTGTGACTCAGATGCGTACCGCAGTTAAAGGGAGGTAACAACTATGTTAAATTTCACCATCTCGGTATTCATTTGTAGTTCGTCTAAATATAGCAATTCTCTCTTTCTCTTTTAGAATAGATTAGAATAGTTTATTCTGTAATATAGGTACAAGGTCAAAAGTTACAAACATAACATATGTATAACAATATTTACATCATAAATCATAAATTGGTGATATTGCAAATAGATTACATAAATAATATATAATGTAAGAACAGGTTTGTTAGATCAAACTTTTACGATAGTTTGTAACATTATAGATATACATAAAAATTGAGGACAATATGAGGATCACTGAATAGACGCATTGCATAAAACTTGCCAAATGTTTTTATTGTCTATTTGTGACCACATCTCCAACTTTACCTGAGCAATAAGGCTCCTTCCCAAACACAGAATTGAACCCAGGAAATGTTCTCAAAAACGCACGCTGACATTTCGCACGTCATCGAAACAAAGTTTTCCAGCATGACAACACCCGTGCCCATATCGCCAGAGTTACTCGGGACGTTCTCTAGCAGAACAGTGTCAACGTTATGCACTGGCCAGCCCTTAGTCCGGACTTAAACCCGATTAATCATCTTTTGGATGAAATTCAGAGGAGACTAAATAACGTCGTACCGAGACCAAACACAGCCGATGGATTGCACCATGCATTTCTTAGAGTGTGGTTCAAGGTGCCAATGGCGTTCATCAATCGTCTGGTGCACTCCATGTACAGACGCTGCGCTGCTGTTATTGATACTCGCGTTGGACACACCAGATACTGATGTATAGACTGTGTACAGACTCTAAACCTTCTCGTAATGCCTTGAAATTGTGATGAATTAATCACTTATGACTCAACATACAGTTCACAAAAAATTGCTTTGATCCATTTAGTAAGTCGTTTTCTAGAATGATTTTCCCCCAATATATTCATTTTCAAAAGCAAAACCAAATCCTAAAGAGTTTAAAATAGTTCTAACTTGGATACCCAATTTGTTCTTCCTACCTGGATGATTGTCTTAACATAAGGACACTTGTTTTGGGTATCTTTCAATAGGCATAGACATTAGTTTACACCAATATAAGATAACACATAATAAATACTTAAAGAGTTCTTCCACATTCCCCTAAGGTGACAACATTTGGTGAACTCTTGCTTATTCCTAATATAAACTTGCAAAATTTATTATGTAGTTTTTTCTATTTCTGGTCTATATTCTACAGCCCATAATTCGCTACAATATCAAATATTTTTAAACACTCTTTCATCCCTAAACTTGTTTTTTTTTTATTAAACTTTTTTATAGGCATCAAGGCCTTTTCCGCTTTGATTGATAAATTATGTATATTGATGCCCTAGTTTAATCTGGAAGAAACTATTAGTCCTAGATAACTATAATAGGTTACAGTTTCTATTCATTGATTATCTATAACTCATTTTTCATAGTGTTTAATTATGCAATTATCCCCTATTGCTTAGTCATTTCTGTTGATTTTTTGGTCTTTATTACTACAAATAGCCTAACACGTCACAATCATCTGATAAATCTATTGAAGGGGTTTGCCTATCTTCCTTTTCTAAGCCAGGACAAAAGAAGGAATCTATAAGCAATTTCCCAAATTCATGTCAGCTTAATGCCTGATCCTTCTCCACAAAATCATAAATATTTACCAACACCTAAAAAAAATAATTACCGGTAGTCTTCTTCGAAATCAGACACCGATTTCAACACGAAAAGAAGATGTAATTGTCGAATATAATTGCCGTGTGCATCACGTCACTAATGACTGATGTGATGGCTCATGACTCCTGTGGTATTGTTTTTACAGCGTTTGGGCTACTGGTCTGAGTAAAGTTATAGATACATAAACTAAGCTGCTGGTAAGCGTATTGATATCTGCCTGACAACGTATGTCATCTGGGAAACAACTTGCGGCCTCCTACCCATCATTACTAATACTAAACATTAAATAACAGAAACCTGAAAAAAAGACTTTGAAGGCAGATCACCATTAATTTTCACACTGAATTTTCTTCTATTAGTACGACCATAATTAACACTAAATTCAATGGGTAAATAGATGGTGGTCTGAATCCATGTACGCATATCGAGGTTATCTCCCCTGTTGCTATAAAATACTAACCGGTCACTTTGAATTCCACGTGAAGGCTACTTCGTGCCATGTGCGTTGATCGAGGGGGTGGGTGTCATCCCCATTTTTTAATTTTGTGATCGGTTTGTCGTTCGTAAACCCAGTGACCGATGAGGTCCTAGCAAATTTTAATGTTGTTGGAAATATATGATTCAAGTAGTTTTAAAGAGAATGTTGGGGGGGGGGGGGTATCCGGGAACAGGATAATGTATTATTTTTTTTATAATTCAGCGCACATCGCGAAATGAGTCTCAAAAATCAAACTAGCGATGGTTGCGGTCCAGTTTGTCTTCCATCTTTTTCCTTCATTTTAAAATCATATTTTCCAATTCATTTGATTGCCGGTCATTTCTTCACGGGGGATTTCTTGACATCCAGCATGTAACTGAGAGACAGGAATAATTCGGGACTACTTAAACGTACTTCAGTGGTTGGGAGCCACGTTTAACCCCATTTAATTTCGCTTCAGAGGCATTAGAAACACAACGTGAGAAATATTGTATTAAACATACCTTTCACTATATTATAAGAAATACATTTATATCCAATATGTTTATCCTTGTATGCTCATTTTCCGCTATTCATTGTTACAACAAATATACGGAAGATTATGAGATGGATTGAACTATTAACATGTCTGTGAGATTTCAATTTTTTGTAATTTGCTTAATAGTACATTATATAAAAAATAAACCCTCTAGTTCATTCAAGGCATTGTATCGCATCGGAATACACGCAACATTAATTTAGAACAAAGCGTATATCATTAATTCAAAACATTTAACTCTTATGTAAAGAAAGTGAATGATTCTGAATGACATTTTTTGTACAAAATAATCCACTTGAACTTACAGTAAATGGTTCAATTACGACAGCAGTGATTGTATACCTAGCCACAGCTGAAATGCGGTTGTTAAAATTTAAATTTTGGGCAAATATATGAATAGTTATTTGGTTGAGATGAAAAAGCAAGGAAATGAAATGAAATGGGGTTTAACGTCCTACTGTTTTGCTCCTAAACTGTAGCAGTATGGCCCTTGAGACAATTTTGGCTCTTTATAAAATTGTCTCTTCAATTTGGTCTATAAAGTCAAATCATAAGTACTAAATGAACGTGGTTATAGTTGTTCGTAAAAAACAGTGATGTTTTAGTTAAATTATAATCATTGTCAAAATAGTCCACAAATTCTAGTTGTTTATTGACCTATGGTCGGTTGACCAAAAATAGGTAATGTTGCCTGTCTTGGTTGTGGGAAATATAGAGTTTTATTCCTTATATGGCGTGGAAATTCACGTCAAGGTTATTAAAGACCTGGGAAAGTAGGGGGTATAAATTAGGGTGTGGGGGAGAGCTAGATTAGAGCTCACCCAGAGATTCTTACCAGTCATTATATATTTGAGAACGAGGAACCTGCAAAGTTATTTCCAGTTTACTAATAAAGCTGTGAAATCATTGTTGCTGTAGTATTATTTACGATCACAAGGAACACAACAAATAAAGAAGTCCGGTAGTACTATAAAACTGGGCTAATGAAGACGGGAAAAAGCAAGGTCTCGTGTACAAATTGGCACTGCACACTGGCTAATCTGTTGAGTACAGTGAAGGCACAGGCACTTGAAGGGATTAAAATAAAACTTCTTACTGTTTGACTGTATAAAACTTCTTACTACTGATAGACTATATATTATAGTATATAATATATAGTCAATATTATAGTATATAATATATAGTCAAGCAGTAGTAAGAAGTTTTATTTTAATCCCTTCAAGTGTCTGTGAGTGAGGGATTATATTAAAAATCAGGTTGACACTTTTCATATTGATTATACATGTATATATGCGCGCTCTAAGATCTCAAACGAATGCCTAGGCATATTTCAAACTGTTGGCTTACATTACTATCTTTCTATTACATTGTTAAATTCGACTGATTCATTATTTCCTTTTTCGGGTTAGGAGCGGTGTTAACTGCAATTCGAGGGACTTTTAATCTTGTTCAAACTGGCGGTTCATCCGCATGAGATACCCACTAAAGGTACCTATTTGTTTTTACTAGTATTCATTCCACCTGTTAGAGATTCTGGAGCCACGGTGGCTAAGTAGGTAAGACCCTGCCTCGCTAGGATGGAGGTCGTGGGTTCGCTTCCAGTGTTGACCGAGATAGTTCAGGGGTGCAGGAAGAGCCTGACAGGGAAAGCTGCATAGTAGTTCGGATGGGACGAAAAACCGAGGTCCCTTGTACACATTGGCGTGCACGCAAAAGACCCCTGGGCAGTTGGAATTCGATATAAGAGTAGATCGTAGCGCCGCTGTCCGGGCCAAATTTCCCTCATAGCACACTGTATGGCGTCAGCCCGTCTTCATTATTCCAGTCGGGGCAGAACAGTTGGACGTTAAACCCATTTACATTACATTTACAGTTAGAGATTCTAAAGAAGCCAATAAAATGGAATTTGGTAAAAAAAAACCAATAAGCATAGTGTGATGGGCATGATGCAACTCAAATATATTTGAACTGATTCAAAATGACCTAATTGTATGTAATACAATTCTGAAGAGATCAAAATGATTTTAATGAAACTTTTTCGTAATCTATGAAAAGAAATATGTAATAAAATTTGAGATGGAATATAATTAAATGGAACTTGGTATATATAACAATAATAGATGTCTGCGCACTAAAAGATGCAGATTTATGGTTCTCGGGCCGGGTGGTCCAAAGCTTAAAATGTAAAATTTATGGGTTCGATCACAGGCGTGCACGTGACCAGCAATAGGGTCATCTGCCTAAACTCATGGGTTACATCCCACTTCTGAAGGTCTCTATGCCCTTGGAGTGAATTATTGAACTAAAGAGATATGCCATTGCAATCCGTAAATGACTTAGTTGATCTCTGTCGCATATGAAATTTTGTTGTAAGGCCCGATGGTACTATAATTTATTAAAGATGTTTACCCCGTAAAACAAGTTCATCAATATTCGCTTTATTATTAGTTAGCCGTAGAAAAGAAAACGGTGTTGAGCAGAGTCCCGCAGCGTCTGTTTAGTTCTGCAGAGAAAATAAGGTTGTGACGTCACGAAACCTGATCTGACAGTTGTAATAGCCCAATATGTACTGAACTATGGTAGTTTCAGCTCATCTCGACAGGTAGAAGCAGTGGCTACGAATAAAAACACATTCACCCTCTCGTACACGTAATATGTAATCACAAGAAACAGCCATTGTTTATTGATGTGCACTGAAATAGTCACAAGCTGGGAGATAACCAGACGCCTATTTGTTCAATGTAAATAGATTTGATATATACTAATAACATGTATTAACATTACTAGTGATGGTATTAACTTAATTCTAGTCTTTTCTGGAAAGAAACGAACGTTAATCTCAGCGTGAAAACACTTAGTGGTCATGTGACTAGTACCTTACTGGAGAGTTTCTGTGAGATACCACGATGTACTCGCCTGACAAGATGGAATCGCGTGCTTCTTGAAATCATATATAAACCACCGTACTTCAGGTTTGACCTTTTGGCTTTAATCAAGGTTTTGCTTTCCATAACATACGGTAGGTAAAATACTTTAATAGAACCTTTTTATATTGTAGTTTGATTACCTAGCTATGTCATATTAACAAGACTTTATTGTTTGTGTACCTCCAAATATAACTTTAAAACATTTAAAATTATTACCATAAATAGCGACATTTAGCCAATAGTTACATTATATGCTCGATCCTTGCAAAGCAAGTTGTTAAGTATATGGGTTTTATAGTTAAATAACAAGTGGTAAAGATGCTCACGTTGTAAACCCATTAAAGCGGTGAAATGTTTATAGCGCACAAATTGCATTGGCTTACCTATCTCAAGGGTCACCTACATCCGTGGGTTCAATTGTTAATTAAATGTTTTATTTTCAATGTATATTAATAGTATGATAGATCATAAAAATGCTATCACTGTGCATCCAAAAAGAAATATGGTTCACGTTCCGTCAACATCTCAATCTTCAGCAGTTCAGTCGTAAAGGTATCTTAGATTTTCGTACCCCCTGAACGACTAGGTTATTTTATTCTAGAAATGGTTACACGCTATAATATTAGTGACAATCGAGATTCGAACACAGGGCATGTGAATCTGAAATTTATTCGAAACTTTCTTTCTAATATTGTGGGGTTGGGCTACCAGTGTTCCAGAGCGTGCATGGTAGATTAAAAGGCATTTTATCTATGCCAGACATGGGCTCCACTCCAGGTATGTACATTGTACATGACAATAAATATGATCGTCTGTCTAACCCCATGGGATTTCTCCGCATACCCGTATGTTAGTCCCGAAATGACCGAGTTAGTATTTAGTTGACGTTTTCGTCTTTGATATTTCTTCTGACGACAGTGAACTTAAGAAATGACACATATAGTCTCATAAATCATGAGTTGAACATTAATAAAAGTTCAAAACTCCCAAATTAATATTTAGCCTTAGGTTGTATTATGTATAGAAGTCAAATATTTATAAGTGAAGTTAGGAAAGCGGGTATATAAATATCTATGTTTAATTACATCACTGTATCATATTTAAGTTTAGAATTCCTGTGCGTCAATCTATTTGGTAATTATAAAATGTCCGTAATACAGGACTACTTGATCTGGTTAAATTTGGGGTGAAAAAGAATATAACGATTATACAAAAGTCATTATTCTATGTAATAGAGTTTCTCTTTATTTCTGTTAAGCGTTTGGTCGAGGCTTCTCTAGTCTTTATCAAGCAATGATTGTTACGTATAGTTTTACGGTTCAATTACTAAATGGCTTTGAAACAATTGATTTATCCAATACATGGTAATATAGATATTTTACTGTATTAGAATTAAGATGAAGTATATAAGCAATTATGGAGGCAGAAATATGGCATACGTGTGTCAGTTAAACATTTTTAAAAAGTAAAATTAATTATAAAAGCGTCAAAAGCAGCTTTATGTACACTCGCCCAATCGTAAGCCGTTTAACTATGAAATGTCAATTTGTCATCCGTCGATACACGAACATATATCGTCCACCAACTAAAAGTCATAAATAATGCATCCAACTGTAGAACATTTATCAGAGTTCATGAAATATCGCTATACAAAATATAAAACTAGAATAGCCACAAATAGCGCGGAAATACGTTCACAAAGCATATATTATGTCTAGACAAAATAATACAATCATAGACAACAGTTTATCAGAAAGAAAAGCTGTAACATTTTTGTAGAATTTTTGCCCTTTAAATTAGTAGCATTGAATTAATTAATATCTTTGGCAAATTAATAGATTCTCATATATTTACTTAAATCAAAATGGGTGATTGAATGACAGATTGTAAAATAACTTTGAGGTAAATTTACAACCATATATGCGTATATGGATGGATTATTAAGCGCATTACAAATATACATTATTATTATTAACAAGTTATTTTACACCCACTTTGTAAATCTAAATCCACCACTTGGGTATAAATTTACAAGTTGGTGTGAAATACAGTCAATTTACTGGCAATTTTCTGTAAGTCAATTTACGGTAAAAATACACAAATATTATTTACAGTGTAGCTGGTTCTATGTGTCAACAACACATCATCAGATTACACGTGATTGGAAATTGATCAGTTGCATCATTCGGCTTAAGTAACCAATCATATCAGTAATTGCACAGGTTCAGGGTCATGAATAGCCTAGTCTGTGCGTGATGTCCATGGGTCCTATAAAAGAAATCATGGCAAACTTTTAATAAACAACAACAACAACTTTTAAGGCAGATTTTCATTAGATTCCGGAGAGATAACGATCTGAGTTCCTAGATCGTATGATGTAGCAGTTTCTATCAGCAGACTCGCCCAGCGAGTCTGGCTGGGCGAGGTTTGAGAGAATGACTTTATTCTATTATGCATTGTACCATATGTAAGCAGCTATGATATTTAAAATGTAAGAACGAACTTTTGCATTGTTATTCCTGTTAAGACAAACGTCTTTACTGAAAAAACAGTAAGAAGTAAATACACAACGTGAAGGGGAAGCAAAGACACAATTGAAAATACTAGACGAACACAAGGCTGCTAAGATATGTAGTAATAAAAGATGCATTAGTCATACGTAGGATGTGGCGATCGGATTTGGTGGCCCGCTCTCCACGTCTGACAAAAAGGCCCATGATGTTACAAAGCTTGGATATTGATACCGATACTTTATGCCTTCGTTGTCTTATGCCATTATTGTCCGATTGCCTTGACATATATACACAGTTTTAAGGCACATGAAAAATGTTAACTCTCGAATTTTAATTGTTTCTGAGAACTACTTCATTTATTGTTATTCTTGATTAGATTTTAGTACTTTATGGAATCTCCCATTATCTACTAAAAAAAATATACGATAACCTTTGTGTATTGCTTTGAGTTTATCTTTCGTTGTCTGGCAACCTATCTCTAAACAGCACTGTATATTTACCATTTCAATTTTACCTATACAATACCGACAAAAGAAAAAAAAATATACGATAACCATTGTGCATTGCTTTGGGTTTATCTTTCGTTGACTGGCAACCTATCTCTAAACAGTACTGTATATTTACCATTTCAATGTTAGCTATACAATATCGGAAACCGGATAACATATATGCGACGTAATCCCTTGCGTCTTCACTCACGTTCCATTTTCTAACATGGTCCTTTTAAGCAAAAGATTTCAAATTAGCTCAGATATGCAGTTTAAGTATATCTAATCCCTGACGTTAATAAGTTAAATAATCTTTTATCTTTCTCCGGGATATTATAATCCCTCAATAATCAATTCTATTTGATCTATATTTTATTCGTTCGCTTATTTACCTTCGTGATTATTTTTTCCCTTAAAAATTGGAAATCACGAGGCCTTGATAAAAGCCAATTGTCCTATTTACTTAAGGCAATTAATGAGCATAGACGGAACTTATGTTTTTATTTAGAACATGTCTTGTTCTTTGTGAATGTACATATATTGTTGTTTAGCTAAGGGGCCATCGCTACACCAATGTCAAGGAAATGTATTTTTAGAGTAAATTAATAAAAGATGATGCCTTTCTTGAATAGAGGACTGTGTTTACATAGACATCAATCTAGTATATTGTGGACGGAATTTAAGAGAGTCAGATTCCCTCCATTCAGAGTTTTAATTAAAGTTATCTTATATAATATGCAAAAAAAAAAAAAAAAAATAAGGAAGATAAAAAGAGAACTATATAGGCACAAGTGACAATCTGATTAAAATGATATTTGTTCTGCTTTCGATGGTTTCCACTATAAACACAATCTGACCGGCGTACGTAACTAACGTTCGAAAACTTAATGGTCTCTATTGTTCAGAATGTCTGACCGGTACGGTTGCGCCACGGAACTTGTAGGTGAACTTTGGTTGAATTGCGTTGGCTGTGGACGAATAACGTTTCATGTTTACGGCATCTAATGTCGATTTAAAAAGCAGCCAAAAGTATCTCCAACAATCCCGTGCCTAAATAGCATACGGTTCGATAAAACAAACCAAATCATTTGTTAACCCCAGGCCATTAAAACAAAAAAAGGAACGAAACGATATAGGATCTATGTTTTAATCATAGTGTTTGGATGGGTAGCTATAGAAAACATTGTTCCATTTTCTATACCACTGTTTGAATGACGCCCGAAAATGTGTCTATAAATAAACAAAACAAATCTTAACACCTGTAACATGAATTAATTTATCCTAAAATAAACAAACTATTAATGGTTGCTTACATTGGATATATGGGATATGGATACAATTGCGATAATATAATGGAAGATTAAAAGTGATGTTTATCTCGGCCAACTTCGTCGATAATTACAAGTTTCCTTGTAGCGAAATAATCCCGTATCGATAATTGTACAAATTCATACATTTCATTATAAAAAGTAATGCCTTCAGCTTCCCCTGGTTTGTCGTTTTCTCAAGGGTAGCGTCTATATCAAATATGTATGTAAACATAAATAACGGGATTATTCCATTAGTGTAATTATTAGTAAATTGTCGGTATGAAATTGAATTTGGTGTCGCGGTTCAACACGGTTCCAGGTTTAGCGCGGTTCCTTTTGCGCTTTAGACTAAAAAAAGACACATCTTCGACGTACCCTTTTTATACGCCCTCATGAAAATGTGGTCGTATATTGCCGTCGCCCCCGTCAGTACGTCCGTTCGTCCGTCGTCCACAATTTCTTGTGAACACTCTGCAGACTACATTTATCATCTGATTGTTTTGAAATTGATACATGTTATTTATATCAGTGTGATGAAGAATGAATTCTATTTAATTTCAATACATTCCGTTAATTTCTTCTGGAGTTATGGCCCTTGTTTCACTTTGTTGAACTTTGTCAACGCTCTAACGACAAACGTTATCATCCGATCTGTATAAAATTTATATGCATCATTTAAATTCATGAAACGAAGAATTCTATTGAATTTTAGCAATTTCCAATTATTACGTCTAGAGTTATCGTTCTTGTTTAACTTTGTATAACCTTGTGATCCAATCTGATTAAAATACAGATCTATATATCGTTTCGTTTTTTTTTATACTTTCGATGGCCTATACTACACGAAGATCTGGCCAGTTGTACTGGAATGTCGCCTCAGGGGTCGAACGAGCAGCTTTTGACCATATGATATCAGCCTTTGATTAATCAATTGGCGTTGACGTTTCTAGTGGTTTACCCACAGTTCCGTGCATGGCACGCCAAGAAGTCGCCGTAACAGATGGTGTCATTGGCTAATCCCTCACGCCACCCAGAACGCCTGTTATATAACAACTCTTCCAGATCCTAGTGTAATACAGACAAATCAAACGAAATTTTGATCTATAAAAAACGAAACGGAATAGGATCGGTATTTTAATCAAATTGCCTGTGAACCCTCAAACGACGAAAATTATAATCAATATGTTTGAAAATTATCTGTATGAAAATTATCTTGTAAATGCCCCCCGATTATCTACAAAAGAATAAATATGCGACAACTCTTGTCGACTGACGGATGATTTAGCTGCTGTGGGCTTATATGTCGTTGCCTGGCAACCTATCTTTGTTTGTCGTTATCGTACCAAGAATTGATTCATTCTGTTGCTTCACTTTTTCATTATGTAATTCCCTGCTATAGTGACCTTAAACAGCTCCAATTATAAATTGTCAGTACAAAGCTTTGATTTGTTTGTATCTGTATTGTTTCATTTATTATTAATAGGATTATTATGCGGGTCTACCATTTTATGCCTAGGTCCCCCTGGTGAAAACCATCGCCAATGTGGAAATAAACAAATTTTCTCCTGATGGCTCCTGATGCCCCCGGGTCTGTGCCCCGAAAAACAAAGTAGTCCCATGAGAAAGGGCACTTTTCCCGACGCCTCCAGAGGATCATCTGTATTACATCCCCGAGGCAATAAATGTCCAGTGTGAACTAGGTATTAATTGCACCAATGTCAAGGTTAAGGTCTCATAAAAAGAAAACAAAAAGATCGCAAACCAAACCGGGTACTGAACCAAACCGTTTGACCGAACTCGAGATGAACTTTGTGACGTGTAAGCTTCTATGTTGAGTACAGATGTAAACAATTTCCTATGTACATGTAGTAGAAATAAACATGGCGGTTTGTACCTAATTGAGGCAACTAAATGGTAGCGAGGTGGAACAGAATTAATACCAGTCATCCTTTTATTAGTCGTGGAGGTGCGAACATTAATAAATTAAACAGCTACAACAAAAATCTTTTGATCTTTACCACTATATGCACCATTTTATTCTGTAGGTCACACCAATACAATTTAAGTTGACTAAAATAACAGTTATCTCAAATTGAATAAAACTCTGATTAACATTACATTATAAAACTTTAGTTTTTTTTCCTGCACAGGGTCAAAAATAAAACGAAACAAACTGGTCTTAATCGAACCGAGTTGACCGATGTCTATGGTCTCGCCAACTGGTTATTGGTCAGTTAGAAACTTACACAAATGGTTCTTTGATCAAAAAAAATTAGCATGACAAAGTAGTAGTGTTCGTAAAATGCAGTGTCATTGCCATTACACCATACTTAAGAGCTAATTCTGCCTATTGCAGATCTTTCTTTAGGCCTTAAAATTTATACAGATTATTATATTAGACATGCCAAGACCATAATTAACTCTCGATGCCATCGTATGCTTCAGATATATAGTAGATTTGAATACGTTTTGCGGTTGATGAAATAACCGTAAAAATGGATAATCGAGATTTTGTTTATTATCGTAACAACGGTAGCAATGACAATCGAGGCTACGGTGTTATTGTATCACTGATAACTAGGCTAAGTGTGGAGTAATTTCACTGATATTATTTCATTATTTTTTTTTAACTAGTATAGCGAGAACTGTCAGCTCTTTATCTAATCTTATCTAATGTCCCTTTAAGAACCCGCTACTGTCTTGATAATTTTATTTTAAATCTTAATGAAATGTTCATGCGATATTCAGAATAAAATGTACTTTGTTTTTGTGGTGGAATCGTCAATACGTTTACAGAATATTCCCACAAACCGTACAGTGTTTTCTTCCTTCTCCACTAATATTCACGTATTCTTATCTGTCACATATATCGTTATTTAATGCGGATATCTTCTCTCGTGAGCACCTTTCGTCGATTGACTCTAAATCTGTTGCAGGCAGTTTCTATTTTTGGTACACAAGTTGACCATTATAGCATCAATAACAACTTAGTCTACGAGTGATCGATTTTAATAGGACGGTCACGAACGGGGATTCGAATTGATGATAAACAAGCTAATTATCTAATAAAATTGATTCGCCATTAATTTACTACCCTTGAATAAAGAGACAGAGTAGGATGAACCCAAGCTTATGTTTCTGAGCAGACAGTAATTGTGTTACGTAGAATGAGCCCGTAATCGATAACGGTAAATTACACAGAAAATATTTGCTTGACATATGATCGTCTGCAATATTATTAATATCATTGTTTTTAACAATTGATATTTGAGTACGATATTCAGATTGCATAAATACAAATAAACGTCTATTATATATTGCAATTGATCGGTCGCTATTATTAGGGCAAAGTTTTTATTTCTCAATAAGCTGACTGTATTGTTGTCTTTTATTTAACTGATTTGAAATACAAAGAAGTGTCCTTTTGATTTAAAATTTTATTCCAAAGAGAACCGAAGTGAAATGATATTGTAAAATGTGTATAGGCTGTGTGCTAGTAAGAGTAATCTTACACACTGGTCCGTACATAACACCACAGTTCTTAAATCTGTATTGTGTATCAAATTTCATATCCCGATATTAAGTATAAAATACATGCCGTGATAAGCTTTCCGTTCTCGGGACCCTAAAGGTCGCGATAAAATCCTGAAATTCCCCCTTTACGTTTTGCTATAGACTAATCATTTTCGGAATCGTTCCTGGCACTCTTAAAAATG